CGAACATCCGGTTTACTAGGTTTTGGTAGGTGGCACCGGCATTCTTTAATCCAAACAGCATTATGTTATAGCAATAGGCACCGAATTATGTTATGAAAGAAGTCTTTTCTTGATCGTTCGGGTCCATCCGAATTTGGTTGTACCCGGAGTGGGCGTCGAGAAAACTGAATATCTCGTGGCCGGCCATCGCGTCGATCATTCGATCGATGTTAGGGAAAGGGAAAGAATCCTTTGGGCAAGCTTTGTTTAGGTCATTATAATCCACACACATCCTTAGTTTATTTCCTTTTTTAGGTACTACCACTACGTTAGCTAACCAATCCGGGTATTTAACTTCCCAGATGGATCATATCTTTAGAAGTTTGGATACCACATCCTTAATGAACGCGTGTTTGATCTCGACCTATGGTCTCCTCTTCTGCTTAACCAGATGGAACTTTGGGTCCAAACTCAGCTTGTGAGTGGTTACCTCCGGTGGGACCCTTGTCATGTCAAGATGGGACCAAGAAAAACAATCGGCGTTAGCTTTAAGAAAATCAATAAGTTTTTTTCCTGAGCTCGAGGGTTAACCCCGTGCTCGGGTATACCTTTCGACCGGTAAATGCTCGATTAATATGACTTGCTCCAACTTTTCAACCGTTGATTTGGTGGCGTCGGTGTCATCGGGAGCTATGAATGATCTTGGGACGTTGTAATCGTCCTCATCGTCTGCTATTTGATTTCTTGTTTCTCTAGTTCGGACGAGACCAGTATCAGTAATTGCTATTTAATCTCTTCTTTTTTGGTTGGTTCCGTGCTCCTCGATGTTGAAACCGCGGGCACCGGGATCATTTCGTCGACAACAAATATTTCCCTTGCGGCGGGCTATTCTCCGTAGACCGTTTTGACTCCCCCCGGTGTGGGAAAGTTTAGTGCGTGGTGCAAGGTCAAAGGTATCGCCATTATGTTTTGGACCCATGGCCTTCCGAATATAGCATTGTACCTCATATCCCCTTCAATCACATAGAACATTTTTTCTTGGATTGTCCCGACAGTGTTTACCGACAAAGTTATCTCTCATTTCATGGTCTCCCACTCCATGTTGAATCCGTTCAATACCCAGACTGCTGGTACGATTTGATCCTGTAACCCCAATTACTCTACGACCCTTGATCTGATGATGTTGGCCGAGCTATCTGGATTAATCAGCACATGTTTAACTCAAGATTTATTGATAAGTACGGATATTACCTGTGTATCGTTGTGAGGCTGTACGATGCCCTCGGCATCTTCGTTGCTGAACAAAATAGCTCCCACCAGAACATAATCCTGTGTGCATATTTCCCTCATAATAGATACTTTAGTGAGTTTTATCATTGGCCTTTGGGGGACTTCGAATCCCCAATGATCATGTTGATCACGTGTTGAGGCTCCTCTTGTTCGACCTATTTGTTGGCGTCCCTATTTCTGAAGTGGTTTTTGGCTCGTTCACTTAGGAATTCTATGAGGTTTCCATTTTTGAACAGTCGAGCAACTTCTTCTCTTAACTATTGGCAATCTTCGGTCCTATGACCGTGAGTGCCATGATACTTACACATCAAGTTAGGATCTCTCTTGGCTGGGTCGGACTGGTCGGGGCCACTTGGTCTCTTTGATGCGCCCTATGGCCGACACGATGCTTGCAGCGTCTATGTTGAAATTATATTCCATTAACCTTGGTGCCTCCCTACTCCCGAGCGACCTATCAAACCCATTCTTGATCATCAAGCCCCAGCCACTAGGCCCTCGATCGCTTCTCTTCTCGCTCCTTGCTGGGTGATGTCCGGATCCATTTCCCCTTTGATCCTCGATGTATGATTGATATCGGTATCGGACCAGTCTTGGTTCTTGATCAATGGCTCTTTTTGATCTATCATCGGCCCTGATGAAGTAAATGGATCCAAAAGGGGCCCCGAGTTGTTCGTCCTCGACCCTGATCTTCGACTGGTACCTATTGTGGACGTCGGCCCAGGTTACCTCGGGGTACTCCACCAAATTTTGTTTTAGCTATTGAGAGGCCAAGGAACTTTGGGGGTTGAGCTCTTGAGTGAATGCCTGAATGGTCAAATCAACTACAACCTGTGGTAGGTCCATCTGTTCCATCTGGAATCTTGACACGAACTCCCTAAGCATCTCGTTATCCCTTTGTTTGACCTTGAAAAGATCTCACTTTCTGGTCTCGACCTTGATGGCCCCGACATGGGCCTTTACGAAAGCATCTGCAAGCATAGTAGAAGAGTCAATGGAATTTGGGGGCAAGTTGTGATGCCATATTATTGCTCCCTTGGACAAGGTTTCCCCAAACCTTTACAGTAACACCGACTCGATCTCATCGTCTTCCAAATTGTTCCCTTTGATTGTGCATGTATAGAACGTCATATGCTCATTTGGATCCGTGGTCCCATTATATTTGTGGATGTCAGGCATACAAAACCTCTTTGGGATCGACTTTGTCGGAGGAAAGGGCTTTTGGATAAATTTTTTGAAGTCCGGTCCCTTCAATATCGGGGGTGCTCCAAGGATCTGATCGGCCCTGGAGTTGTATGTTTCCACCTTCTTGTCATTAGCATCAATCTTTGTCGCACCTAACTCCACCCGTTTTGTCAACTCTTCGAGCATTTTCATTACCTCAGGATTTACCCCGATCTCGGCTTCACCCGGTCTCTCGGTAATTTGTTCGTCTCTTCGAGTGCTATCCCGGGATTGTTTGGGCTCTACCCCGTTGGGGGTGTGGCTTTGATTCTGCAGCTATGCTATTGCCTCTTATTGATCCTGTAGCATTTCAAAAATCAGCCTTAGGCTCACCCCATCTCCTTCACCTTCGGGCGCTTCTCGAGCTATTGGTCGGGGTCCCCCGCAAACACTGTTTTCGAGATCAGTTGGCAAATTGATGTTGATAGCCACCTATGAGATAGCATCGACCGGGTTAGAAACTGGGATACCGTTGGGATCGGCAGGAAGCACATCATTGCTGGGAACCAAATTATTATTTTTGTCATGATGGCTAGGCTCAGCGTCAACGTTCAAGTGAGCAGACTGAGAGTTTGACATTTTTAGGCTGACCCGAAATTAAGATTTCGAATAACAAGCACAAAATAAGGTGTGTTATAGAGATTTGTATTAAAGCACCACTATTATCTTTAGCCCCACGATAGGCGCCAAACTGTTTACCCCAAAATTAGGTAACAATTAAATTTGTACGCGGTTTAAAGAATACGTGATTTAATTCAACACGAATAATTAAGACTAACAGATAAATGAATTAAAGATGAAATAAATGATCAAACCAATCGCAATGTTATGACCAAGCCTGATCTTAGATTGAACAGTGACCTTGTCCTCGATTGGACTCTCGGTTTAAGCCTAGTCGTGAATGAGGAAGAAAACAAGTGAGAAAAGTTTTTAACAGTAGCTAGAAGTCAAAAATAAACTTTTATTGCTTTGACTTACATGTTAGAATGTGCCATACTAAAGAAAAACTTCCCATGTATATAGTAGGAGAGTTTCAATCCTATTATAAGTCTAGAAAATGGAAAAATCTTCTTTTTCCGATAATTATTGATCCATAATCATGACTGAACGAGATTCGCGCCGTAATGTCCGGTTGAGGACGAGTATTACGTACGGTCTCCTATTCGTTCTGCATAACTGTACACCGCATCTCCCGAGGTCTAGGAGTTATACTCAGTCCAGAGTGTATCGCTTTACCATGTCCGACGTTGGGTATATGGTCTCTATATGAAAGGTCTCTGTCCCCGATTATAATCTCATGAATATGTGCTCCCCCTCTATTCTCTCATCGGGGAATCGAGGTAGACATTGCCCCTGATTTTACCCGTACACAGTACCACACTTAATCCCACTTTATCTCACCTTATCCCGCGTACCATACGACCCAAAGAGATAGATCATTGGAATATTCATGCAAAACGTAGTTGTTTACCCTTGAAATTGGATAACAATTAAACTTATAATATGGTTTTAAGAACACGTGATTTCACCTAATACCAATTGATAAATGTGAGGATGAATAATAGAAATTAACAATAAAGTAAAGCAAACCGATGTTAGAATGGAACTCAGCCCTCGAGTTTGGACACCCTCGAACTAATTGATGCAAGAATAATTAAAGTGTAATAAACTGATGAACAATAATATGAATGAGAAAGAGAATTGTATGGCTTTTATGCATGTCAATAGTGTGTTACAAATAATTAGAACCTCCTTTATATAGTAGTGGAATTCCACTTATGGTATTGTTCTAATTACAGAAGGAAACCCCATGATTAGCTAATTAACCATTTCTGATTTGATCCGTTCCGAGATTTATTCCATGATCCTCGACCAGTCACAGAGATTTATGCCATGATCCTCGACCAGCCACGAGTATCTCACATTTTTGTTATTATGTTATCTTCTATCTTGCTCGATGTCTGTCTCATTTGGCTACGATCGATACTAGCCTCGATCTCGACAGGTAACTCGGTTCCGAACTCGGTACCTTATCCTTGTGATATGGCCTATTCCGTTACGAGGCCGTCCTTCGATGCAAATTTGCGGTCTCGGTCAAATAGCAAAATTGGGTGGGCCCGGTTTTAACCGTATATAGATAGTCCCCTCATTTTTTGGAGTGTAATGGCAAGAAATGAATAGAGCCTTCGATTTTCTACCTCGACCTGTCATAGCGTCATCCTTGTGACGTAAGCGACGCAAGTGACTAAAACGTCTTGTCTGTACAGTTACCAAGGCATTAAATGAGCGTCAGTCGATGGTCGGCCACTGCCAATTTTGAACCGTCATTGTGAAATTTATAAATAGCCCCTCTCTCTACCATTTTGAACTTTTACTTTCAAATTTCTAATCTCCAAAGCTTTTTATATCTTCTAAGTTCATCTACAAATCTACGATTTCACTACTAACCCCTTCTCAAAACACCAAATCTTATCATCTCCATCTATTTTTAACTTTAAATCCATACAAAAATGGCAAAAACATCAAAAACTATTCCTCAAAAGGAAAATGCTTCTTCATCGCGGCTGGCCGGCGGCAAAACACCGGCGGAACCGCGCCCTGAGGAGTGTGTTCCAAGGGGGTGTGTCCTCACTTCCAATTTTAAGACCGATAAAGCCTCATCGATTCTCGATCGATGTGAGCCAGTGTCAAGGTATATATGCTCGATAAATGAGGGATACCCTAAGCAGGTAAAGAAAGATTGCCACTGGGAGGGCAAAGAGGTGGTGATCCCGACCCCCGAAGAGGACATCACCACCCTTGTGGATGGGTTTATAAGTGTTTACACTTACCCTTTCACGCTGGGCACCCTCGACCCCGTCGTCGTTGATTTTTGTTGTCAATATCAAATAACCCTAGGCAAAATCCATCCTTCCTTTTGGTGAATTGTTATTCTGCTCCGATTCATCGTGAGCAAAGTCGAGGGGATACCTTTAACCCTCGAGCACCTCATCAGGTTATACAACCCCCACCTCTATCGAGGCGGGTTAATAAAACTCCAACGTCGGGCTACCAAAGTGCTATTCTCGAGCATAGAAGAGGACAAGGACCGAGGCTGGGTGGGTCGGTTCGTTTGAGTGAGGGCTTCCGACCAAATCCCGGCCGAGAAAATGCCATTTCCCGAGAAATGGAATATGAAGCGTAAGTTCAATCCCACCGTTAGGTCCTATTTATTGTTTTGCTCCTTTAATTCTTCTCATCGATATCCCTTTCCGTGATGTAGCGGTCGTTTGGATGCCCGGTGCAATTCCTAACCTTAAGAGCTGGGTTCAGGACCTGGCCTCGACTTCTTTGTATGCCGAGCGCTCATGGCGCAATTTATCAAAGGGCCGATGGGAGGCCAAAACTCATGGTAAGCCTCTTTTCCACGTCTTTGATGATTTTATTAAAGCATTTCTTACTTAATTTCCTTTCATACAGGCCTTGGCAAAGATGCTGTTAGGAGGCCCCTAACTAGTGAGGAGGAGACTTAGATCCTGGCACCAAAACCGGTGAAGGACAAAAAGAGGAAAAAGACCTCACCCTCCGAGGATCCAGAACCTAAAAAGAAGGCGGCTCGTAAGCCGAGGAAGAACATCATCCTCTTGACCAAAGAGTTTGTTCGGCGTCTAAGGGAGGAAGACGACAAAGAGGAAGAAGACGACTCCAGGATGGTGGCCCGAGTGGGAATGAGCATCGAGGCCCCAAAGGCCACTGAATCGGTGAAGGCTGCAGAGACTTCATCTCGAGATGAGGGGGTCTCGGGAAGAGACTTCAGAGAAGTCCCCAAGTCATCGAGGATCAAAGAAGCCCCTAACCATACTGAGCCAATGGTGGGTACGACTGTCGAGGCCCCTCGAGATGAGGAGAACGCCCCAAGTGATACACTTGGGGCAATAGAAATTGGAGGCTTCCCACTGCTCCCCTCATTTTCTGAGGAGATGATTCAAGAGGCTCGGGCCTTGAAGACGCTCTCCATCGAAGGAGCCCACGGAAGTGAGGACCCCTTCCATGATTACTTTACTGGGGTCGAAGATACTATCGGCCTGAGTGACTTGGAGGTCTCAAGGAAGGACTTGGGCGAGGCATCGAGCCTTTGCAGTGAAGCGCAGCAAGCTCTGAATCGGGTAAGCCCTAACTCCCCTTGTTGGTATTACCCTTGTATTCATTTTTCTCGTTTTGTCTAACTTCTTTTATTCTTTCTGTGTAGGCCTCCGTGCTTCATCGGGAAGCATTTTCTCAGTCTCGAGCCGAGCTGATCGGTACGAGGCTGACATTCAAAGGCTTACCGAGGAGAGGAATGCCCTCAACCTTATCGGTAAGCAAAAAGAAGAACAGATCAAGGACCTCCTAGCCGAGTTGGCCACGGCTCACAAAGATCAGACCGACCTGGTCAAGCAGGTAATGAAATCTTAAAAGCTCATGGGCTCGATTCGGGGATGGTGGCTAACATTTTGATCTAAAAGCTACAGAAGAAGGTCGAGAGGATCGAGCAGTTCCGTGAGGAGGTCAACATAATAAAGGCAGAGTCCTTGGAGTGGAAAGAAGGTATGGACTGCTTTGCTACAGAAAAAGAGACTACTCGAGCCCAATTATCATCGGTCAAAAGTCAGCTCCAAGGTATGAAGGAGAAGAGCTCGGCTCAAGCAAGGAAAATAGAGGAGCTCGAGGCTCGGTTGGCTTTCGAACTTGCCAAGGCCAAATCTGAAGCTGAAAAGGCAAAGGTCGAGGCAGATGTGATCGTGGCCATCTACCGAGCCGATGCTGAAGCTACTCAAGTCCAAGCAAGAGAGGTAGCCAAGAGCGCTCAAACTCGAGCATATTGGATTGTTGAACTCGCCAAATGCCAATCTCGGAGGGAAACCCTCGAGGAGATCCACGCTCGATATTTCGATCTTACCAACGAGATAGTAAAGGCTAGAGAGCTTGAAGCTGAAACTGGAGCGCTGGCCTCTTCCGATGATGATGATGATGATGGCAGCAAGAGCGAGTCTGAGAATGGGGAGGACCTCGATGGAGAAGAGGCTGCCCCCGGAGAAAATTACGAACCTTATGATTTTTCACTTTTGATCTTTTGTATAGGATCCTGATCGGACCTTGTAATTATTCTCATATATATAAAGATCTCTTTCCTTTCCGACTTGTCTTTATTTCAATTTTTGCCTTTTGAAAATTTTGTTTCATTTATGCCTTATGAAACTTTTATTCATAAGTTCGAGGCTTAGGCAATTTGATCGAAGCCTTACTAGTGTAGATTTTATAATCGAGTGAGTACTTGCTCGAACTCGGAGTAGGGTGACCCTTAGGTTTTAATTGAGTGAAGATGATTTTTCGAACTCATAAATAAACTTGCCCTTTGGGCTCTTGAATTAGGCCGATACGGGCATAGTAAAAAGAATGGCTTTCTCCCCTTTTCGGCTTTTATTGTTTAATCATATAAAATCTGTTGTGCCTTAGCATAAAATAAGGGATTTGCTCGAGAGTTCGAACGGTTCCGTACCCATTAGGGTTTTCAAGGGTCGATATTATCGAGACCCTTTATTTCGTAATGCCTTAGCATAAAATAAAGAATTTGTTTGAGAGTTCGAATGACTTTGTACCCATTAGGGTTTTTGAGGGTCGATATTGTCGAGACCCTTAGTGATTCAGCCGAGGGTACCCTTTTTAACCGGTTTATAAAAATATTCTAAGGCTTGTTTTATAACGGGAATCGGATGTCTCTGAACCGTGTTAATTTGGTCGTAGCCTTTAACTTGAGATTTGCCTTTTGGGCTTATTCCCCTATTATACTTCGAACTTGTTCGAAGTATCAGTACCCGAGTGGGGTGGCGTGGCCTATAAAATCGAGGCTTGCCTTTTTTAAGGTCTTATGATCTTGAGGTTTTAGTAATTCGATCATGTCGATTTTTTGGATGGCAGTCCCCGAGTGTGGGGTCAACTGTTTGAACTTTAGTTGTGACCGACCCTTAAGTCAGTTTCCGCAACAGATCACAAGCATGACATTGTAAAGTAAAATTTTCTCTAAGGCATGAAATATCTGGCAAGGAAAAATACTTTTTTCAATAGATTAACATGCATACATATTTGCCATTAGGGCTCGAGTAATCTACACGGGCGTGGTTCGTTCGACCGTTTGACCCTTACAAAATTTTCCTATCGAGACCCTGTCGGCACAAATTATTTTCCTTGTAACCTTTTGAGGGTGATTCCCCCCAGTATTCAAGGTTGATTGTAAAGGAGCCTCGGATACTGTTGAATTGCTCTAAGTTAGCACGAACAAGGGTTGCCTTATTAAAAACCTCACCGAAAAAACTCATTTGGGACAAAAACCGGTCTAAGGGAAAAAGAGTGCAATGCGTGCTTTCAGACCTAAGGACTTTGTGTTTGAAGAATCCTTTGATGTCTTCGATTGAACACCTGCAAATGGTTAGTATAAAATATAAATGAAAATGGAGAAGGTCGTACCTTAGCAGTAATATCGTTAGAGGGGTGATATGTTCCAATTGTTTGATAATTGTTCACCGTTCATCATGCCAAGTTTATAGGATCCTTTTCCGACGATATCGAGGACCTGGTACGGTCCCTCCCAGTTTGGGCCAAGTTTTTCTTCGTTTGGGTCTCGAGTATTGAGGGTGACCTTCCTCAAAACCAAGTTCCCGATTTTGAAGTGTCGAAGATTGGTTCTTCGATTGTAGTACCTTTTGATCTGCTATTTCTGTGCGGCCATTCGAACGAGGGCGGCTTCCCATTTTTCATCTAGCAAATCAAGTTTTGTATTCATAGCCTTGTGATTTGACTCTTCCGTTGCATATCAAAACCTGCCGCTGGGTTCCCCGACTTCAACCAAGATCAAAGCTTCAGCGCCATATACTAAAGAGAACGTTGTTGCCCCCATACTAGATTTTGATGTTGTTCGGTATGCCCAAAGGACTTCGGGCAATATTTCTCTCCATTTTCCCTTAGCGTTGTTCAATCTTTTCCTCAGATTTTGAATGATGGTCTTGTTTGTCAATTCGGCTTGTCCGTTCCTACTAGAATGATATGGCGTCGACAGGATCCTCTTTATTTTGTGGTCTTCGAGAAATTTTGTCACTTTTCTGCCGACAAACTGCTTTCCATTGTCGCATACGATCTCGGCAGGCATCCCGAATCAGCATATAATGTGGTCCCAGACGAAGTCTATGACTTCTTTCTCTCTAATTTTCTCGTAAGCCTGCACTTCAACCCACTTAAAGAAGTAGTCAGTCATAAGCAAAATAAATTTAGCTTTACCTGGGCCGATGGCAGAGGGCCGACGATATCCATTCCCCATTTCATGAATGGCTATGGGGATAAGACAGAGTGGAGTTGCTCTCTGGGCTGGTGAATCATCGGCACATACCTTTAACATTTGTCGCACTTTCGAACAAACTCTTTTGTATCCTTTTCCATATCGACCCAATAGTATCCTGCTCTGATGACTTTGTGAACCAATAATTCGGCACCGGAATGATTTTCGCAGGTGCCCTCGTGAATTTCTCGTAGGACGTAGTCAGTATGTTATGGTCCCAGACATATTGCCAATGGTCCATCGAACATCCTTCTATATAGTGTTCCATCTTCGGCCAGTGTGAATCGTGCGACCTTCGTACGTAGAGCCCTCGATTCTTTAGGATTCGATGGAAGCTTCCCGTTCTTTAGGTACTCGATATATTTGTTCCTCTAATCCCAGGTCAGACTTGTGGAGTTGATTTCGGCATGGCCTTCTTCGATTACTGACCTTGAAAGTTGTACGACAGTCCCCGAGCTAATCTCGACGTCTTCGACTGATGACCCCAAATTTGCAAGGGCATCGGCCTCGCTATTTTGTTCTCGAGGCACATGCTGTAAGGTCTATTCTTTAAAATTATGTAGAGTCACCTATAATTTGTCCAAGTACCTCTACATTCGATCTTCTCGAACCTCGAAAGTTCTGTCGACTTGGTTTACTATAAGCAGGTTGTCATATTTGGCCTCTATGACTTCTGCTCCCAAACCTTTAGCTAGTTCGAGACCTACAATCATGGCCTCATACTCGACCTCATTGTTAGTTAACTTGGAAGTTCTGATAGCTTGTATAATTGTATAGCCCGCGGGCGGCTTCAAAACGATGCCTAGCCCGGACCCCTTCATGTTCGAAGCACCATCTATGAAGAGGGTCCACACACCCAATGATGTACCCGACTTTAATAATAGTTCCTTTTCGACCTCGGGTACAAGGGCTGGCGTAAAGTTGGCCCATTTAGCCAATCGGCCCGAAAGTTCGGGCTTATGCAAAATATTGCGAAGGGGTTAAGTAGTCACCACACAGATCGGGTGACAATGAAAATATGGTTTTAATTTCCTAGAGGAGCTTATTAGGGAAAGCACTAATTTTTCTAAGTGTGGGTACCGGGTTTCGACGTCACCTAAAGTTCGACTAACATATTAAACAAGAAATTACGTACCTTGTTCTTCTCGAACTAGGACCCCACTTGCCGTAATTTTCGAGACTGCTAAGTACAAGTAGAGTCGCTCGTCCGCTTTCGGAGTATGATGTAGTGGCGGGTTCGAGAGGTACCGCTTTAATCCTTCCAATGCTCATTGGCATTCTGGGGTCCATGCGTAATGGTTCTTCTTTCTAAGCGAAAAACCTATGACTTCTATCTGAGGACCTTGAGATGAATCGGCCTAGGGCGGCTATGCGCCCTGTTAATCTTTGTACGGCCTTAACATTGTCCATGACTGTGATATCTTCGATTTCCTTGATCTTATCAGGGTTGATTTCTATCCCCGATTTGATACCATAAACCCAAGGAACTTGCCCGAGCTGACCCCGAATGCACATTTCTCCGGGTTGAGCTTCATGTTGTATTTCCTTAGTATATCTAAGGTCTCCTGCAAATGTATCAAATGGTCCTCTGCTCGCAGGGACTTAACTAGCATATCGTCAATATAAACCTCCATTGATTTACCTATTTGTTCTTTGAACATTCGATTTACTAAGCGTTGATAAGTGGCACCAGCATTTTTTAGTCCAAACGGTATTACATTATAACAATAGGTACCGTACTTAGTGATGAACGAAGTTTTTTCCTGATCCTCCGGGTTCATTTGTATTTGATTGTACCCGGAATAGGCATCGAGAAAACTAAGGGACTCGTGGACGGCTGTGGCATCGATCATGTGATCGATATTCGGTAGAGGAAAAGAGTCTTTAGGACATGCTTTGTTTAAATCTTTATAGTCTACACACATTCTAAGCTTATTTCCCTTTTTAGGGACTACGACTACGTTTGCTAACCATTCAGGATATTTTACTTCCCGGATGGATCCTATTTTAAGAAGTTTGGTTACCTCGTCCTTGATGAATACATGTTTTACCTAGGACTGGGGCCTTCTTTTTTGTTTTACTAGGCGGAACTTCAGGTCCAAGCTCAGTCGGTGTGTAGTGACCTCCTGTGAGATCCCTATCATATCTAGCTGGGACCAAGCAAAACAATCCATGTTATTGGTAAGAAATTTAATGAGTTTTTCCCTGAGCTTGGGGGTTAACCCCGTACCCAGGTATACATTTCGATCGGGTAGATACTCGATCAATATGACTTGCTCCAGCTCTATGACTGCTGATTTGGTGGCGTCGGAATCTTCGAGAATTATGAAGGATCGAGGGATCCAGTAGTCATCGTCCTCGTCCATTCCTTGCTTCTCCGATAGAGTTAAGGCTGGTGGCTGTGGTTGTTATTAAGCCTCATATTTTCCTTTGGACTCCAATCCCTTTGTCGATGAAAGCACGAATACCGGTGTTACTTCGTCGACCGCAAATATTTCTTTGGCAGCATGCTGTTCCTCGTACACCATTTTTACCCCATCCGGTGTTGGGAACTTTAGCATTTGGTGAAGGGTTAAGGGGACCGCCCTCATGTTGTGAATTCAGGGTCTTCCGAGCAGTGCGTTGTATCTCATATCACCCTCGATCACATGGAACTTTGTTTCTTGAATAGTTCCGGCTACATTTACTTGTAGGATGACTTCACCTTTAGTTGTTTCACTCGCCATGTTGAAGCCATTGAGAACCCGAGCTGCGGGTATG